ATATATATATATATATATATATATATATAATATTATATATGATGTCCCTCAGTTGTGCTGAAATCGCCTCATCTGTGATAGTTTTGCCATTATATGAATGACTCTCAATTGTGTTGTAATCGCCTCACCTATGATAGGTTTGCCATATATATTATTTATATATATATAATATTATATATGAATGACTCTCAGTTGTGTTGAAATCGCCTCACTTGTGATAGGTTTGGCATATATGAATGACCTTCGGTTGTGTTGAAATAGCCTCACCTGTGATAGTTTTGCCATATATATATATATATATATATATATAATATGAATGACCCTTAGTTATGTTGATTGATTGATTTTATTACAGCCATTCGGCCAGTATATATTTATGTTGAAATTGCTTCACCTGCGATACGTGATAGCTAGATAGATAGATAGATAGCGACTGTAAGGACTCTAAGGACTCTAAGGGTTTCCTTGGCATGTTTCTTCAAAGGGTGTTTGCCATTGCCATCCTCTGAGGCTGAGACAGTGTGACTAGCCCAAGGCCACCCAGGGCCTTTCCTTTGCTGAGCAGTCAAGGTTGTTTGGGCATAACCACCATCTTTCTAGCTGTGCTGGATGAAGCTTTCTAAGAGCTATAATCAAACACATTTGAAAGATATGGAGTCGTAAAAGACCAGTGGTAGTTGTTGAAGAGCCTGTGTGGGGTAATGCTTTGCATGCTGGACTATGACTCTGGAGACCAAGGTTCAATTCCCAGCTTGGCCATCAAACCCACTGGGTGATCTTGGGCAAGTCACACTCTCTCAGCCTCAGGTGAAGGCAAGGATAAATTTGCCTATTATATTATTATTATTATTATTATTATTATTATTATTATTATTATTATATTTATATCCCGCTCTTCTCCCAGGACTGGGACCTACGGCAATTTACAACATTAAAAAAACCCAATACAGTTAAGAACATACAAAAATAATACATTATTTTAAAGCTATCCATTTTGAATAGGAAGGTTTTTGCCTGTCAGTGGAAGGCCACTTTGAATTGTGACCTGAAACAAACTGGCTACCAATGGAGCTGTTTCAACAGGGGTGTTGTATGGTCACTGTTACCTGCCCCTGTTAGCAGCCTGGCTGCAGCTCTTTGGACCAGCTGAAGTTTCCAAACACTCTTCAAAGGCAGCCCCAAGTAGAGCATGTTACAGTAGTCCAAACAGGCTGTAACCAAGGCATGTACCACTGAGGCCAGATCCGGCATCTCAAGGAATGGCCGCAGTTGGTGCACAAGTTTTAAATGTGCAAAAGTACTCCTGGTCACTGCAGAGACCTGGGCCTCCAGGTTCAAAGCTGAGTCCAGGACTACCAACAAACTGCGAACCTGCATATTCAGGGTGAGTGTGGCCCCATCTAACACAGGCTGGATCCCTGTTCCCTGATCTGCCTTCCGACTGACCAG